CAGCCCTGTTGGGGGCAGGGTCTGCTCCCCAGCTGTTGGAGTAGAAGCCCCCAGATCCGGTTCTAAGCTGTGGTGTGAGGTAAGTGGGACTGGAGTGCTCCTACTGGGAAAAGAGCCACTGAGTGTTCTTCCCTAGGAGCTGTCTGCCAGAACGTGTGATTCTATGATGCCACCCGCCACCCTGTGTGAGTGCCCACAAAGATCACTGTTGCTGGCATTGTCCTGGGTGGTCGCCTCTGCTTAGGAGCTCCGGTGTTCAGCTCAGAGGTCCCTTAGGCATTCATGTGCCCTCACAAAGCCGCTGGCGCATAAACCTGCAGGAGCTGTGTCCCCTAAGCCCACAGATAGTCAGTTCAGATGGCCCTTAGGCCTGTGTGTCCTGGCCCCCAAACCCGCCAGTGAGAACCCACCAGAGCTGCATCCCAGGCACCAGCAGTGGGATTGCCGGTAATCAGCTCAGACATCCCTCAGGCGTGCATCTGCCCATGGGCCCACCAAGTGCACAGAACCTGCAGCAACCAGAGCCACACCTGCTGTGAGCACGCTGACAATAAGTCTGCTGTGGTGGACCCATTCCCCTCCTTTCCCGTGTTGACAGTGGGGCTCCTCTGCTGGACTCACGTTCTGTCCTGCATGTGCCCCCAGTTGTGGGCTGGGCCATGCTCCAGGTGCTTCGGGCTGTCTCCGCACAGCCAAACGTAGTCCTTTCCTGGGGTCTGTTCTCTGAAGCCCAAGTTTCAGCACCCAATACACACACCAGCAGGCGCGTGTCTCGGGCTGGGAAATGCAGCAGCATGGCCAGGACCATCTGTGCTGGTCAGTCTCTACACTGTGGGGCTGCAGGCCAGCTCCCACACTCTCCTCTCGGGGCTCTGAATCTCCTTGTCTGTCCTGGCAGACCCCCCAGCTGGTGAAGGAGGTTCCCAGGGTAAGGGAAGCTTTCCTCTTTCACAGCTCCCTCCCAAGCGTGCAGGTCCCATCCCAATTCCTCTTCTTCTCCCTTTTCCTTTGCTCCTGCCTGGCTACATGGGGATCTTTCTTGCAGCTTTGGTTGTATGAGATCTTCTGCCAGCTTTTAGTAGGTATTCTGTGAGAACTGTTGTGGGAGCAGGTGAGCTCCATGTCCCTCTGCTCCACCATCTTGATTTCCTTCTCCATATGTTTTCTATTTACCATGTTTTTTTCCTTCTTTTGTGCCTCCTGTGAGCACTGAATGAGTTTTCTTTTAATTCTACTTTTTCCCTAGTTGTTTAAAGTTGTACATCTCATTTCCATTTCAGTAGTTACCCTAGACCTTTTAATCCACATATTTAAACTCACCTTTGTCTATCAATACCTAGAATCAACCAAATTCAAGTGTTATTCTTTAATAAGAAAAAAATCTTAATATATGTTTACCTACTCCACCCTACCCCATCACTTCCCATAAAGTAATAAACACTAATAATGATTTGAGTGGTTTTAATTTTTTTTAATTACACATCAGCAGTTACACTGAAAGATTGAACTCTTAGTTTTACTTACTTCTGTACTCACCACAGCTGCTCATATCTCAGATTTTCCTCCTTCTTACATTCCCTTTTGTGTGTCTGTGTATAACTTAGGAGCAGAGAGTTGATTTAATAATAAAACTCAGGGTATTCCCTGGTGGTGCAGTGGTTGAGAGCCCACCTGCTGATGCAGGGGACACGGGTTTGTGCCCCGGTCCGGGAAGATCCCACATGCTACAGAGCGGCTGGGCCCGTGAGCCATGGCCGCTGAGCCTGCACATCCGGAGCCTGTGCTTCGCAATGGGAGAGGCCACAACAGTGAGAGGCCCGTGTACCACAAAAAATAATAATAATAATAAAATTCAGGTTATTAGCACTTTAACCATTAGTCTTTATAAAGCTCCTCTTGCCCTATTTTATTTTTTCTCCTTCATTCTTAATCCCTACCCCCATTTCCTATTTTCATGTAAGTATCTGGTTTTTTTGCTAGATATATTTTCCTGGATATGTGGATGTATCTTGTAAAGTATATATTATTTTGTGTGTAATGTGTTTTTAGTTTATATAATGGTAATATGCTGTTGAGCTCATTCTGTTACTTAAGTTTTTTCACTCAGCGCTGTTTTTAAGATTGTTCTTATTGCTGTATGCCCATCCAGTTCTTTCCTTTTATCTAATGCATAATATTCCACACTATGCTCTAACCACACTTTAATTCATCTATTCCCTTGCTAATGGACACCTAGGTCGCCTACCTTGTGTATGTTTCTTGCATATACCTCTGTGCCAGAGTTTTTCTGGAATATTTACCTAGGAGTGGTTTTGTTGTATCACAGAATATATATATATAAGTAGTTTAAATAAGGGCCACCTGGTGGTTCTTCAAAATGGTGGCTCTAGTGTACACTCACACCAGTAGTACATCAGGGTTTCTGTTTCCTTACAACCTTGCCTGCACTTGATATTCCCCAACTTTTTAATTGTTCTAAGTTTTGTTATTTTGTAGGTATAAAGTGATATTTCATTGTTTTAAATTCCATTTTTCTAAATATTTTTGATGTTAAGTATTTCTTCATTTACTTAGCCATTTGGTTTTCAACTTTTATGAATTGCTATTTCATATCCCTTGATAGTTTTAATATTTTCAATTTCTTCTTTTATTCTGTCATCACCTGTCTGTTTACTTCATCTGTAATGGTAGAGATGACATTTTGAAGAGAAGTTCTTAATTTTGATTTACCTAAATGTATTAGTTTGCTAAGACTGCCGTAACAGAATACCATAGGCTGTTTGTTTTAAACAACAGATATTTATTTTCTCATGGTTCTGGAGTCTAGAAGTCCAAGATCAAGGTGTTGTCAGATTTGGTTTCTTTTGAGGGCTTTCTTCTTGGCTTATAGAAGGCTACCTTCTAGCTGTATCCTCATTTGGTCCTCCCTCTGTCTGAATTGTTTATGTCCTAATCTACTCTTCTTACAAGGAGACCTTTCATATTGAATTAGGGCTATCCTAATGACCTTATTAACCTTAATTACCTCTTTAAAGGCACTGTTTCCAAATACAACCACATTCTGTGGTACTAGGGGTTAGGACTTCAACATGTGAATTGGCGATGGGGGGTGGGGGTTGGTGGGGAATGACACAGTTCAGTCCATCGCACCAGATCTATACAATTTTATCTTATGGTTTATGCCTTGGGTTCTTGTTTGAGAAGTATCTCCCTTTCTCATAGTCACAAAGATAGTTTCCTATTCTGTATTTCTTTTCATTTTGCTGTTTGAATGATTCTTTCAAAGAGGGTTTGCATAGAGTAGATTTTTCTCAGCCCATAAAATATCCAAAATTACCTTTATTTTGTTATCATACTTGAATGCTAGTTTGCTGAATAGAGAGCTCTAGCCTTAAAATAATTTTTACTGAAAACTTTGAAGATATTACTCCATTGCCTTCTAAATCCATTGCTGCCAATGAGAAGTCTGACACTAATCTGATTCCCATCCCTTTGTAGGAAACCTATTTTTGCTCCCTGGAATCTCTTAAGATTTCCATTTTTTCCTTTGGAAATTTGAGTAAGATGCATCTGGGTGTGCAGTTCTTTTTTGTTTATCCTGTTAGATACTTTGTATTCTTTCCAAGATGGTTTCTGTCATCTTGGAAAAATTTTCTTATCCCCTTTCCATTCTCCATTTTATGAATTAGCTCTTCAAGTGGGTCTTTTCTTCTGTACAACACATTTATTAAATCTTTTATTTGATTATCATACTTTAAAATTACAGAATTATTAATAGTTTCTCTTGCATAATGACTGATTTTGTTCTAGAATGAAATAGCCTTTTGAATTCCTTAGAGGACACTAATTATTTAAAGTTTTATTCTTTTGGTTAAATTTTGTTTGTTTCAGATGCTAGTTCTTCTTTTATATTTCATAACTTTCTTTCATATTGTTAATTTTCCTCAGACATTAGGAAGTGCTTGATTGTGCATCTTTCTCTTGAACAGTCTCCAGTCTGAAACTTAGAATGCACGTTCTGGTTTCTGGAGTTGCTTCCTGTAATTTTGGGGAGGGCCAGGACATGAGTTTGGATAGAGTGCACCTCAGTTCATCTTTCTAGATATGGGGGCTCTCTATCTGCCCAGAAGATCACTGCTTAGCACCTACACTTGTGACCACGGCCCATCTCTCAGCTAACTCCTACTTTGTTCCTTGCACAAACCTTTCCCAAATTCCTTTCAGACCCTTGTCATAGGAGTTGTTTATGCTGTGTGATGTTCCACCCATACTATTGCTTATTTCATTTAAATGTAACCTTCTCTGCCTAATATCATTAACATGTGGAAGGGATCCCATTAGTCAGGGCAAAGGTGAGTGGTCCCTGCACAGGATCCAGTCCCAGCAGATGCTTTGCCTTATTAGGTTGAACTGAGCTCTTTATTGACTCATCTTAGTCTGATGATCTCAAGAATGAAATCACTCTGCAGTCTCCTCCTTAGTTACTTATCTCTCCTGAATTCACTGTCTTAACACACTCTATTTATACTAATATAACAAATAGTATTTTCAAATCCTCTGACAGACTATCTTTTATATACATTTTTCTCTTCTAAGACAGTTGGTTTGCCTTCTGACCAATACTGACTGCCCAACAGTTCTGAGGCTCGAAAGAGCTTGCATGTTGCAAAGTCAGGAAGAAGGTCAGTGTGGCTGAAATATAGTGAGTGAGGGGCAGGGTAGCATGAGATAAGATTAGAGAAGTAGGCAGGGGCCAGATCAGGCAGGACCTCAAAAGCCTGGCCAAGGGGTTTGAATTTTTTTCTAAGCGCAAAGGGCTTATTACCTGACACATGTCACAGCTGTTCCTCTTCCCAGTTAGCACTGAAGCTCAGGGCCAATGAGTACTCCCTCTAGGAGGTACCCTGCTGCATACAATGGGTGGTAGACCCAGACCCTGGCCTCTCCGGGGGTCAGTTAGTGCTCTCACCAACCTTCATTCTGTTTCTCTTCTGTTTCAGAGGTTGTGTTCTCATCTTATCCTGGATTTTCAACCTCAGAGGTAGGAACTGCCTACTTTATATTTGCATCCTTGAGTCAAAACATTAATTTTAATAAACAAAAATAGGTTAATGGAGCCATGAGAGGCATTTACATATATAACACTGAGGAGGCCCATTCACTGATCCGACCATGTTCCAGGCACTAAGCTGGCCTATGGAGATGCAGCAGCGGACTCAACAGACAGGTCCCAGACCTCACACTGCCCACAGACTAGCTTCCATTGGTCTCAGATGCTGTTCAGTAGTAATGGTTGCTACCTCACGTGATCAAGCTGGCATTGAAGTGAGGCTGCCACCAGGATGAAGCCCAATAGCTTCCTAACAAGAGACCCTGCCCGAAAGCTAGAGTGAAAAAGAAAAACAAAAAAACCCCAAAGCTAGAGTGATCCTGGCTAAACACACCACCATCCGGGGTCTAATCCTTGGTGTCACAGGCTTGGCATCTTCTGTTGTCTTTTCATCCTGGACTTCTTTACAGCATGGTGGCATCAGGGTTCCAAGAGAGCAAGGCTCTGAAATTCAAACAATGGCATTTTCTGTTGGTCAAAGAAAGTCATAGGGCCAGTATATTCCTGCAGTACAATTCTGATGCTAGTTACCTGGAATTAGCATGTGTCCCACAAGTTAAGGGCACAGTCCCCAATAAGACTGCCCTCACTTCAGACACTAGCTGCAAGTTTGGGGGTCCCCAGGCTACTTGACCTACTGGCAATAAATTCTAAAGTTCCAGTGACCCCCTCGGGTTCAATAATTTGCTAGAACGACTCATAGATAGAACTCAGGAGAGCACTATACTTACAATCACAGTTTGACTATAAAGGATACAAATCAGGACGAGCCAAATAAAAAGACACATAATGAGGGCTGGGAGGGTTCGAAACACAGAGCCTCTTTGCCCTCTTACTGTGGAATGAGAGTGTGTCACCCTCCCAGCACATCTGATGTGTTCACCAACCAGGAAGCTCACTTGAGTCTCAGTGTTCAGAGCTTTCATTGGAGTTTCATTACATAGCCACAATTGATCGAACCATTGGCCACATGATTGAACTCAGTTTCTAGCCCCTCTCCCTTCCCCAGAGGTCAGGCTGGCTCAAACTCCAATCCTCTGATCACACGGTTGTCTTTATAGTATGGCCAGCTGCCATCCTAAGTCATCTCATTAGCGTGAACTCGGGTATGATCCAAGGGTCATGCATAACAAAGACATTCCTATCACTCAGGAGATTCCAAGGGTTTTAGAAGGTCAGTGCCAAGAACCCAAGACAAAGACCAGACAAATTCTTTATTATACAGCAGCCAGTCTAGTTTCAAGGGATTAAGAGATACAGACTCCACGTCTGAATGGGAGGAGCAGCAAGGTCACACAAGCGCATGCATAAGGGATAGAGGGGCTTGTGGCCACAGAATTAGGTTGCTTAGTGCTCAGATCCCAACTGTGTGGCATCTGAGAATGTAGAGAGTGAGTTGAATGGTTGAAACATTTAGCGGCCTCTCTATCACTGTCAGATACATCCCACTCTAAGACAGGGCCCTTTCTGTCCCCGGCAGAGCCAGTCATGCCCTCAGATCAGGACATTCCGGCCCCCTGGACAGGGCTAGGTAACCCCCAAGCCTGTCTGGCTTTTTCTTCTCTGTGCTCCAGTCTGATTTGCCCACTTTGGCTCACACAGCCTCGCTCCGGGTAGGGAATTGCACAGTTGAGGAGATACCTTACCAGACCACCACCACATTCCACTCAGCCTCTTGGAGATTGCATTCGGATTTCCTTGCGAGGAGAGTTCCCAAGCACCGCCACTGGTTTTTGTTTTACTGTCACCCATGACTTATCCGTCTCACTTGTGGCTGTACAAGTTGGACCCCAGGAGAGGACAAAAATACTTGGCCAACAGTAGGTGCTCCAGGGACTTCCCCAGCGGTCCAGTTGTTAAGATTCTGCCTTCCAGCACAGGAGGCGTGGGTTTGATCCCTGGTCAGGGAGCTAAGATCCCACATGCCATGGGGTGTGGCCAAAAACTTAATAAATAAATAAATAAATAAATAAAAAGGAATTGCTGTAAAAAAAAAAAAAAAGTAGGTGCTCCACAAATGGTCATTAAATGAGCAAAGGAAATTTAAGTGACTTGCTCGAGATTACACAGCAATTAATGGAGCTTAGATGAATCTAGTTCATCTGAACCCAGTCATTAGCCCAGCATCTACCCTGGTTAGATGGTTAATCCAGCGACTTCCACTTTCTACTTGATCAAACATGTTGACCCTAAGGCAGGCTGAGGTGTGCTGAGAGACCATGACTGACGCTGCAAGTGAGCCAGATGCACTGGCCACACCCAGGCCCCACAGCCTGCCGGAAATTGTCCAGGACTTAGCTGTCGTTTTATCTCGGAACTAAGAGCCTCCACTGTAGGATGTGGACTAGCCCATCAGAGCAGGTGTTCAAGGCTCAGGTCACTCCTGCTCTGTCTCCTCACTAGGAAAAGTCCCCTTAACAATGCAAGCCCTGCCCTTTCACCTTCTGGAGAAATTTTAACCCAACCGTATAGAGGGGCAAGTTCAGGATAAGCCACTATAGGGCAGAAAGTGAGAGGTGAGAGCAAAGAGCCTCAGCAGTGGTGCACTGCTGTATTGTACTTTGGCTTCAGAGAACTTGAAACTGGAACTTTGCGTACCAGAGAACTAGCTCACCATGTGACATAGGAAACTTGGAGCCAGAACTCTGGGCCCTTGATGACATCGCCCCTTATGACCCTGGATGTCTCTTTTGACCCAGCCTCTCTAGAATGGTCATTCTATCCACCACACTCCCTAGGAAGGGTCTGTTGGCCCACTTCTTATCACCAGGGCACTTTGACTTTGACTTTCTTTTCCTTCTAAGACAACCAAGGTATGTGCGCTTCCTCCCATATTCGAGATTCTTCCCGTGAAGTCACTGAAAGCGAGGAACCAGACGCTGGCCCTGCCCTTCCCAGAGCTGAGGTACCTTAGCCTGGCCTACAACAAGGTGACTCTCTGCTTCTCTACCTCTTTCCTCAGGGGCACAGACGGGAGGGTGGGGTGTGAGCTGCTCTGGCCTGAAAGCTAACCCTCCCGTTCCCTTCATCAACAGTATGCAGGCTCAGGAATTCTCAGGGTGGGGGGAAGCAGAGGGCATGCAGGCCAAGGCAGGAGTCCATCCATTCAGTCACAGATATTGATGTAACACTTAACATGTGCCAGGCTCTGTGCCAGGCACTGGGGATACAGGTGTGCAAAGAAAGATTCAGCCTCTGAATCTGAAGACTGATACTGGACAAATAATCACAATATAAGACTGCTCAGTGTCATGAAGACATTCACAGTGCTATGAAGTATGTGACAGGGCAGGGGGTCTTACCTAATATTTGGGATCAGGGAAGGTTCTCTGCAGAGTGGTGTTTAAGCTGAGATGGGAATCAGTGAGTTTATTGAGGTGAAGACTGAGGGTAGAGTGAAGTGAGAAATGTTCTAGCCTAAGGGAGCAGCAGATGTAAAGTCCATGGGACAGATTTAACATGTGTTTCCTTAACATGTTTTTGTTTTTTAATTTATTTATTTATTTATTTATGGCTGTGTTGGGTCGTCGTTGCTGCACACGGGCTTTCTTTTAGTTGCGGCAAGTGGGGGCTACTCTTCGTTGCGGTGGGTGGACTTCTCTTGTTGAGCATGGGCTCTAGGTGCACGGGCTTTGGTAGTTGTGGCGCATGGGCTCAGTAGTTGTGGCTCGTGGGCTTAGCTGCTCCACGGCATGTGGAATCTTCCTGGACCAGGGCTCAAACCCGTGTCCCCTGCATTGGCAGGCGGATTCTTAACCACTGTGCCACCAGGGAAGCCCCCCCTTAACATGTTTTATGTTAACATATTTTTCCAACAGCTATGTCCTATAAAACTTCCAGTAAACCCCACTAATTGAGCCCTACTCAGGTGTGAAATGCAGGCAACTTTTAAGGTACTCTGCTTACATTCCTTCTGAGGCAAGTGGTTAGTACAGCCAACCTTCCTGGGTGTTTTCTTCTAAGAGTTATAATTTTAGCTGTAACATTTAGGTCTTTGATCCTTTTTTTTTTTTTTTTTTTTTGCGGTACGCGGGCCTCTCACTGCTGTGGCCTTTCCCGCTGCAGAGCACAGGCTCCAGACGCACAGGCCCAGTGGCCATGGCTCACGGGCCCAGCCGCTCCACGGCATGTGGGATCCTCCCGGACCGGAGCATGAACCCACGTCCCCTGCATCAGCAGGCGGACTCCCAACCACTGCGCCACCAGGGAAGCCCAGGTCTTTGATCCATTTTGAGTTAATCTTTATATATGGTGCGAGATAGGGGTCCGGCTTCATTCTTTTGTATGTGGATATGCAGTTTTCTCAAAACCATTTATTTTTTTAAATAAATTTATTTATTTATATTTGGCTGCATTGGATCTTCGTTGCTGTGCACGGGCTTTCTCTAGTGGCAGCTAGCGGGGGCTACTCTTTGTTTTGGTGCGCAGGCTTCTCATTGTGGTGGCTTCTCTTGTTGTGGAGCATGGGCTCTAGGCACGCAGGCTTCAGTAGTTGTGGCTCGCGGGCTCTAGAGCGCAGGCTCAGTAGTTGTGGCGCACGGGCTTAGTTGCTCCACAGCATGTGTGATCTTCCCGGACCAGGGCTCAAACCCATGTCCCCTGCATTGGCAGGCAGATTCTTAACCACTGCACCACCAGGGAAGTCCTTCAACACCATTATTGGAAAGACTGTTCTTTCCCCATTGAGTGGTCTGCTCACCCTTGTTGAAAATCAGTGGATCATAGATGTATTATGGGTCCTCCTTTCATTCTTTTTTTTTTTTTAATTTATTTATTTATTTTTGGCTGTGTTGGGTTTTCGTTGCTGCGCGCGGGCTTTTCTCTAGTTGGGGCGAATGGGGGCTACTCTTCACTGTGGTGCACAGGCCTCTCATTGTGGTGGCCTCTCCTGCTGCAGAGCATGGGCCCCAGGCACACGGGCCTCAGTAGCTGCGGCACACGGGCTCAGTAGTTGTGGCTTGTGGGCTCTAGAGCACAGGCTCAGTAGCTGTGGCGCACGGGCTCAGCTGCTCCATGGCATGTGGGATCCTCCCGGACCAGGGCTCGAACCCATGTCTCCTGCACTGGCAGGCGGATTCCTAACCACTGTGCCACCAGGGAAGCCCCCTCCTTTCATTCTTGAAACTGGTAAGTTGTGTCTTTTATTGATCCAAAGTAGTTAGAAGTTATCCCTTTTATGGACTTAAAAAAAAAAAAAAAACACTAAGCTAGGTGCTGGTTTCTTTGGATTTCTCTGTAGTCTGTTTTCCATTTCATTGATTTCTGCTCATAACTTTATTTCTGTCCTACTCACAATGAGCTTAATTGGCTCTTCTTTTTCTAGATTCATAAATAGTATAATATTAGATCATTGATTTAGACCTTTCTTCTTTTTAATATAAGCGTGTACAGCTATAAATATCTTCTTTAAGCACTGTTGGAGCTGCATCCTACAAATTGTGTCATGATTTTCATTCAATTAAAATATTTATATTTTTTTATGATTTCTTCTTTGACTTTGGGTTGTTTAGAAGTGAGTTGTTTTATTTCCAAATATATGGGGATCTTCTAGATAACTTACATTTGTTGAGTTCTAATTTAATTCTATTGTGGCCAGATAACATAATCTGTAAGATTTCATTCTTCTGAAATTTATTTAAACTTATTTTATGGTCCATCCTATATTCTAGCTTGGTGAACACTCTGTGTGCACTTAGAAAAAAATGTATATTCTGCAGTTTTGGGGGATAGTGTTCTATAAATATCAACTAAGTTAAGGTGGTTGGTGGTGTCACTTAGATCTTTTATGTACTATTGTTTTATGTGTTCTATTAATTATTGAGAGCAGTATGCTAAAATCTCCAGCCATGATTGTGGATTTATTTCTCCCTTTAGTTCTGTCAGTTTTTGCTGCATGTATTTTGAAGCTCTACCCTTGGGTACATTTTCATTTAGAATTTTTATATCTATTTGATGTGTTTATCCTTTTGTTATTATGACTTGTCTTCCTTTGCCTCTAATAATACTCCTTGTTTTAATGTCTATTTTGTCTGATTTTAGTATAGATGGACAGCTCTCTTATGCTTACTGTTTGCATGGTGTATCGTTCTTTCCTTTTACTTTCAACCTATTTATAACTTTGTATTTAAAGTGTATCTCACTGAGACAGCATATAGTTGGTTCTTGCTGGGATGCTGGAGCATTTTCTCAGCATTCCTGCTCTATCCTCATCTTGCAGCCTTTTCTGTGTTCCTACACCTCAGAGGGTTTATCTCCACACTCTTGTTCCTCCCCCAGCAGTGACTGCTTTCACTTGTTAGTTAGTGCTTGCTAGTCTGATGGTAGGGTACCAGTGGGAGGGCCCAACCCCTGTCTTAAGTAGGCCCTGGGTTCCTGTGTCTCAAGGATGTACCCTTCTCAGGGGTCCTACCCCTGTCCCAGCAGTAGGCGACTTCTAATGAAATGGGCCAGGTTGAATTCCTCCCCTACCACAGGAGTAGCAGGTTTTAATTTTTTCCCTCCCCAGATGCAGGGCCCTGGGCCCAACAGGGTTTGTTGACCTTCCTCAGCAGCTTCAGGCTTTTGTTCACTAGGGAGCAGGGTTGGCAGGGCTTCCTGCCTTTCCTACAGTGGCAGCTGCTCTCCTCCTCCAGACCTACACCCCAAGGAAGGCTTTCTCCAGTCTCCCTCACTGTGTCCAGTCTTTTGCCTACAAGTGGGCGTGAATTCCCCTTGTGTCTGCAGCTCTCAGGAGTTCTATTCTCCTACTGTAGCCCACACTTGGCCTTTAGCAGTTCATTAAAAATTTTAGCTGACTTCTTAAATACTTAAATGCCACTCATCATCTTTTCCTCCCACGTTCTGCCACAGGTGAGCCAGGGTCCGTGTCCCATCCCTCCTTGGAGGTGCCCTACTTTCCTTATATTTCAGGCCACTTGATTGCCCTGAGACCTTAGCTCTCTGTTGCACTCAAGAAAAGTTGTGCAGGTGTAGGTTATTCAGTTTTTATATTGTTGTTAGGAGGTGAGCAGCAGTCTTTCCTGTTTTCTACATTTCACTTGAGTTTTTAAACATTTTTCTTTATGAGAGTTACCCCCTTACATATATCTTTTTGTCTGTGATCAGTTGTCTACTGCCAGAATGTAGGTTCTTTTGCGAGCTGTGACTTTGTTTTGCTTACAACTATTTCATCATCTTTTCAAATAGCACCTGATACATGTTAGGTGCTCAGTATGTTTGTGAGATGAATGAGTGATGTTCTGATCATGTCAAGGAGTACTCAGGCAACCTGTGTTGAAATTAATATTCAATTTATTAAAGTTAAAAATTTTAAAACCAGTTATGCCTTCAAACAGAATTTATATACATCTAGAATATTCACTTAGAAATCTAGTAATTTTTGTGCCAAAAGTAAAATAATCACTTTGACTCCACCTTTAACTAATATTTACTTACTTCATAAGTTTGACTATTAAGTTATATTCACCCTAACCCAATGAAAAATTGGGCAGAAATTTCAAGGTGTCATTGGAATCTGAATTTATTTCCAGGGGCATTAAACTCACCTTATAAGGAACAAGCTAACCTGATGGTCAAATTCTGCTTACAATAATCAGCCAGAATCCTAAGCCTATATCTTTCAGCTGGGACTTAATTTCACAGAAAATATGGCACACGTGCCCTGGGTATCATTCAACTTTCCACCAGTATTTTTTTTAATAAATTTATTTATTTATATTTTTGGCTGCGTTGGGTCTTCCTTGCTGCGTGCGGTAGTTGCGGTGAGTGGGGGCTACTCTTCGTTGCGGTGCGCGGGCTTTTCACTGCGGTGGCTTCTTCTCTTGTTGTGGAGCACGGGCTCTAGGCGTGTAGGTTTCAGTAGTTGTGGCACGCGGGCTCAGTAGTTGTGGTTCACGGGCTCTAGAGTGCAGGCTCAGTAGTTGTGGCGCAC